ACCAGTGCCACTTAAAAGAAGCCATCTACCGGTGAGTCGGGGGTGCTCTTTCCATCACTTTATGAATCAAAAGCATCTCGATGCTAGATGCAGGGGCTGGGAGTCTGTATTGCCCAGGAACTTGGGGGATGGTCAAGATAGGAGAAAGGGGTGGAGAGTGGCATCTGTCCCAGGAATGAGAGAGAGATCCCGATGGCAGGAAGGAAGCACAAAGCAGAGTGAGAACTCCATCAGAGCTCAGCTGGTAGGAGAGAGCTGGGCTAAAACAAGACAAGAAAGTAGGACAATCAGACTTCTCAAACACTGCTCCTCTCTGCCCCTCCCAGCCCCAAGGACTGTGAGGAGCTGGAACCTTCTACCCTGAATTTCTCCTCCTCTAGCCCATATATGTGATAGTACAGGCCCTGCACCAAAATACATTTCTTACTTCAATTCAGAGGCTGAAGTGAGAGGTTCATTTTTCTGAGAGGCAGCTTTTCATCAATTCCGATTGATGTGTCTTGACACTTGAAAGTGACACCTAAACCAGTGCTCTTCAGCCTCCTTGCTAGCTACGTGTCTGCTGGGGTAGGAGCTGGGTGACACGGGAGTAGATGATAAAAAGAAGGTTTCTGGCACTTGAGACACAGGTGAACAACAAAGCAGAGGAAACACACGGTGGAAGTGGCTAGGGCAGTTCATCCCCAATCTGAATCACCAGAACAAGGGTCTGGGCTGTGTATTTCTGACTGACAGACTTCCCGGGTTATCTGAAAGCCAGCATTTCAGAACCACTGATCCAGTCTACACCTTTCCATACAGATGAGGAGACTACAGAACAGCCCAGAGGGCCTGTTACAGCTAAGAGGCTATGTGCAAGGAACCCCAATATTTTAGTTTTTATAACATCTCCCACTGGATTACCTGGGAGTCTAGCCCATAGGGGAGCCCTTTGTCTCTCAGAGGCTTGTAGCCTACTAGTTCTCCATTATTCACTTCTTAATTGACATTTATATGTACTAGGCTGGATTCTAGGGCACTAAGATAGCTCATTGCAAAAACAAATCTCTCTGCCCTCTTGGAGCTTATTTTCTGGCAGAAATGTGCGTGCATGTGTGTGTGTGTGCTTGTGCATTTATAGGTAGAGCACATTTGTATGGGCAAGTGTGTGGATTTTATGGCTAAATGCCAGACATTCTGTTCAAGGCATGAAGAAAAACAAAAAAAGTGGTTACTTCTACATTCTACATTCATCTCTGTTCTCAAAATCTGAAGATGAAAACCCTTGAGGGCCTTTGAAATGGAATAGCCCAATAGTTCAAATTCCAACTCAGCCATTACTTGTGTTGTGAGTCTGGGAAAAAAAAAATTTAATTCATCCATGCTTCTATTTCTTCACTTTTAAAATGTATATTTATCTCACAAAACTGTTGTAAGGATTACATTAATTAACGTATGCAGAGTATTTAGCATAGCACATGGAGCCTAACAAACATTTAATTAATCACTATAGTTTTAATTCTTTAAGTGGATACATTTTTTCCTCAAGTTTGATCAGAAGTATTATTTAGTTTCTGCTCATTTAAAGAATCTGGTTCAGTGCTGTGAAATTCAAAATCACAAGAGAAAGTGAAAAAATAAGGTGTGTACACAGATAAAAACAAATCCAAAGTCACTGCCAGGAAAAAAATAAACATTCTTGAGAACAGTTCTAATATTGTTAGTTGTCACACTTACTATGAGTTTTATGTATTTTTCCAATGAACATATTACTAGTACCTCCTTTAGCCAGGTGCTATCATAAGTGCTGAAGACAGAAACATAACCTAGACCTCTCTCTCAAGGAGCACACAATGGGTAAAAGATAATGTGTTTATTATAAAGGCATGCACAATGTTTTGAGATGGTAAGAATGATATGACAGAGGAGGATGGCTGGACTTCACAGAGAAGGGGAGAGGGCTTCCCAGGTGGCACAGTGGTAAAGAATCTGCCTGTTAATGCAGGAGATGCAAGAGATGCAAGTTCAATTCCTGGGTTGGGAAGATTCCCTGGAGTAGAAAATGGCAACTCACTGCAGTATTCTTGCTTGGAAAATTCCGTGGACAAAGAAGCCTGGTGGGCTACAGTCCCTGGGGTCACAAAAGAGTCAGACACAACTGAGTGCGTGCGCTTGCACACACACACACACACACACACACACACATCGCAGGATGAACAGGAACTCACCAGACATTTTAGGCAAGGGGCAAACATGTGCAAACCCACTGAAGCCTGAAGGAAATGATGAGTCTTGGAAAAGTGGGGAAAAGATGGATATGGCTGGACCACAGGATCTGGGATTTGAGCTAAGAAGAAAGGAGCTTAGAAAAGCCATGATGAGTAGTCTGGGCATTGCTTTGAGGCCCCACCATATACAAATCATGGGGCTACTTGAGTTTTAAACTTAGAAAAGCATGATCCAATTTCAGTTTCAAAGAAGACAGATTGAAACAGAACATGGTGAGGAAAAAGGCAAGAACAAATGAAAGAGCTCAGCAAAGCCAGAAGTGAGATGCATAGGAGGCAAGACAGTGGCAGTTGAAAGAGGTGCAGAGGGGATGACTCTGAGAGGTGATTATGAGGTAGAATCCATATAACACAATAATAATAACAACCATACAGAGCATTTCTCTGCACTAGATGCTGCACTGTCTTTGTTTCCACAGCAACTCAGCATGGTTATTATTTTAAACAAAAAGAAACTGACAGTTGAAGAAGTAATTAACCTCAAATTACACAACTTGGACGTTGGAGGCCAGATTCAAGTCTAGGTCTGTTTAACTTTAAAGACCTGGCTCCTAATCTTCTGAAAAAGAGGGGACCCAAGACAAGGTCAAATCTTACTTCTTAAATAATGGAGTACATGACATTGGTCAAGATAAAGAATCCACAACCTGAAGCACCTTTCCAGGGGTATTCAGTTTGGGGTGGGTTGGATTCGAGGTACTTATCTGATACCCACTTTGCACTCTGTCTAAAATAGAGTATGGCTCCTAGTAAGTGCTCAATACATATTGGCTAAATAAATAAGTCCATGGGGAGATATGCAATAGGCAATGGAAAATTCAACTCTGAGGTGGGGCTGGAAAGCAGAGCTTTGGGAAGCATTACCTACAGGAAACTTAGCACCTGAAAACAACTCAGGAAGAACTTTGGAACAAGGGTAAAGAGGTAAATGGTAAAGAAGTGGGAGCCAAGGATGGTGCCTAGGGACCCTTACAGCGTAGGCAGGGGGGAGGAAACACCAACGAAGAATATGTAACAAAAGTGGCAGGCCAAGAGCTAGCCTACTGGAAGACCAATGGGTTTTTTTGTTGATTTTTTAACTTAGAAACTTTTTTTTCTTTTTGGCTGTGCTATGCACCTTGTGGGATCTTAGTTCCCAAATCAGAGATTTAACTCAGCCCTCAGCAGTGAAAGCATGAAGTCCTAAGCACTGGACCACCAGGGAATTTCCAAACCAAAAGTTTTAAAAGAAAGCGGTCATCAGAAGGATTAAACGTTTGATGAAGATGAAACTAAAAGCCAGGGTGTTTAAAACTGGGTTGTCATCGCAATCCTGGCAAGAGAAGTTTTGGCACAATGATGGGAGCAGAACGCTGAGAGAGTGTTCAGAACACTTTGGGTGGCAAGTAACAGAAAATGCAACTTTTAATGGCTCATTATGAGCATCCCCAGAAGCCCCCTAGTGGAGTCCCCTTATATACTATCATCCAGTAATGAGTCACAGGCCTAGTAGAGAAAGCAAGGGTCCAGCACGGTCAGCCTTATAATGAGAGTCAGGCTCTGCAGGAAGGCCAAGATGTTGGGAAATGGCTGTGGGAAGATGACTGGTGTCTGTGATCAGGAATAAATGGAAGTGGTGAACTAGCACACATGCTTTCAAGGAGATGGCTGCCAAGTAAAGACAAAGCCTGGGATGCTGCTTAAGTGGAGCAGGGATCTTGGAAGACTGGGGATTGATTGTAGCCACTGTGCTGTATGTCATCATCTTGTCCTCTGTTCACAGGACCAAGGAAGATGGATGGCAATGATACGTTCAGCCACAATGTGCTTCCCACATCTCATTCTCTGCTTACCACCAATGTCAAGGGGAGTGATGAAGAACCCACCACCAGTTATGACTATGATTACAGTGAACCCTGCCGAAAGACCAGTGTGGGACAAATCGAAGCACAGCTCCTGCCCCCACTCTACTCTCTGGTGTTCATCTTTGGTTTTGTGGGCAACTTGCTGGTGGTCCTCATCCTAATCAACTGCAAAAAGCTGAAGAGCATGACTGACATCTACCTGCTCAACTTGGCCATCTCTGACCTACTGTTCCTCCTCACCATCCCGTTCTGGGCTCACTATGCTGCAGACCAGTGGGTCTTTGGGAATGTGATGTGCAAATTTTTCACAGGGCTGTATCACATTGGTTATTTTGGTGGAATCTTCTTCATCATCCTCTTGACAATCGATAGGTACCTGGCTATCGTCCATGCTGTGTTTGCTTTAAAAGCCAGAACAGTCACCTTTGGGGTGGTGACAAGTGGGGTCACCTGGGTGGTGGCTGTGTTTGCCTCTCTCCCAGGAATCATCTTTATCAAATCCATCGAAGAACATTCAGGTTACGCCTGTGCCCCTTATTTTCCACTAGGATGGAAGAATTTCCACACAGTTATGAGGAGCATCTTGGGGCTGGTGCTGCCACTGCTTGTCATGATCGTCTGCTACTCGGGAATCCTGAAAACCCTGCTCCGGTGTCGCAATGAGAAGAAGAAGCACAAGGCTGTGCGGCTCATCTTTGTGATCATGATTGTCTACTTTCTCTTCTGGGCTCCCTACAACATCGTCCTTCTCCTGAGCACCTTCCAGGAATTCTTTGGCCTGAGTAACTGTAAGAGCAGCAGTCAGCTGGACCAAGCCATGCAGGTGACAGAGACCCTGGGGCTGACCCACTGCTGCATCAACCCCATCATCTACGCCTTTGTTGGGGAGAAGTTCAGGAGGTATCTCTACACGTTCTTCCGAAAGCATATTGCCAAACACCTCTGCAAACAATGCCCAGTTTTCTATGGGGAGACAGGAGATCGAGTGAGTTCAACATACACCCATTCCACTGGGGAACAGGAAGTCTCAGCCGCTTTGTAGAAGAGGAGAAGCTCACCTGTTATTTTCAAAAGGTGATAGCAATCTATATATGATAATAAGCCACCAGGGTTTGCTGAAGAACAGAGGAGTCTAAAGTTTCTAGAGTAAGTGCCCAGGAACTTGAGGCTTATGTGAATCAATGAAGACTTATGTTACTCTTGTAGAGTCAGCGTGCTCAGGGAATATTCCAAAACAACTGTGGGCAGAGACTTGGAATCTCCAACGAGCTCATCGCAGTTCCTAGAAAATGCCATATTGCCTTGTGTTTGTGCTCTTCCCTCCATGTGCCCCCATCCACCACTTCGCTTACTCTCTAGTAACCTCTTTAATCAATCAATCTCTTTAATCCTCTGGAGTCAGGCGAGGATGAACGGAAAGAGGGGGAGAAGAGTCTGGACCAAGGGGAAGGAGGTGAAAGTGTAAGCATGGTGAAGCCTTTACAAGGATGCAGGTAAGGGCTTGCCAGCCAGGCAGCAGCACTGGTCCTTAGCACCATCTCCTACCATATTTAACTTTGGAGGCTCTCCTAGGTCTTGGCGAGCGTGGGAACTGTAAGAACTCTCTGGGAGCTCTGGCTAGGCCCATGATCCTCTTCTGCTAAGTGCATGACACATTTCTGCTTTATTACAGTTGTAACTATGACAACCACACAACCTACATTTGAAATCTATTCAATATCTTGCCCCATTGTACGTATGCTTCTTAGGCCTCATCCCTCTATACAAAAATTTATTAAAATGTTTGTTTATAAAATACAGATAATCTTTAACAAGATGAAGAAATAAAAACCTTTGTTTAAAAAGGGAAAGGGGGGCTGGAGGTGGTGATCAAGAGAAAGGAGTGGGCTCCAGTGAGTCCTTCCAGGAGGAGGGGAGGGGCACACTCACACCAGACGCTCAGGAATGTTTCCAGAACTGGCCAAGAGCAAACGTCAGGAAGGAGGCTCCAGACCGCTAAAGAGATCTGATGGTATTTTGCTTCTTTGTGGCTGTGTGGCTTTTCCTGCTTTCTTGCTGCCCTTGCCCACCTGTCTCCCCACAGCCTTTATCACAGTTCTGCCTGTAGGACTGCCCCACCCCAAAAGTGGGTTTGCAGAGGTCCAGGAGTGTAGCTATGGGGAGAATGTGAAGGAGATTGTGCAACAAGAACCCCTACTGGGCCTGGGAGAGGGAAGACAATCAGTGGGGATACTGGGGTGTGTGCTCAAAGCAGAGAAGGGGCCTGTTCTGGAAGACAAACACCAGCCTGTGACCTCAGGGTCTATTACCAGGCAGGGCAGGCCTAGATGAGGAAGACTCTAGACAGATTGGAAAAAAATGTTTTCCAAATTACCTTCTGGCACCTCATTTTTGCACACAGGCAGAGGGTTCAGATACACAAACACACACACACCACACACACACACACACTCATGTAAATGTATTTCAATGTAAAGTAAAATATAAATGAAAGCTGGAAACTGCAACCTAAAATTGTGGTAAAGTATCATTTTTAAGATACTTACTATTATGCCAAGCCTAAAAATACTGTATTAGTCATAGAGACAATTCTGGTATTGGTGGAGCACATGGTGTGTTTAGGAGGCCGCTGGTTCAACATAAATAAATATTGTCAGGGAGCTGGAGGTCTGTGAGCTCTGGGTTTACTAGCTTATGGCGATATAGCATCTAAATAATCTCAGACAGATTACAGCACGCACCTCACAACTGTCATCTCAACTGTGTGTCTTTATTCTGACTTTCTACCAAAAATCTTTTTTGCCTCATTATGACATCTCGAAAGTTGTAGATTTAATCCTATTTGAATGCTTCATGCTTTGCCACATCTTTACTGATGCTCAGATGGGTCCTCTCTTTGGCCAGTGGGAGCTCCTAATAGGGAGTTGGAGAAGTTCACCTAAGCAAGCAAAGACTTTGTTCTTGGCTTGAGCTAAGCTAAGAATAAACCTTTGTGTTAGTGCATCTCCAATCTGATGCAGGCAAGAAACACAGGGATCCTGGAACCTGGAAACTGGGGAACTGGAAGTTACTAAGGTTTTACCTTCTTGCCTCATGTCTAGAGGCTTCAGAAAGAGGTGTATGTTGTGGGTGGGGGAGCAGCCTTCACCTTCAGATATCTGTATTATCCTAATGAATGCATTAAATTTTGTTTTGATGATGAAATATAGATATTGTTTTAAAAAGTTATGACTTGAAAACTACCACAATATTATAAAGCAATTATCCTCCAATTAAAACAAATTAATTTTTTAAAAAACTATGACTTGGAAAATGAATCAACACTCTTAACTATACTGTTTTTTATAACCTTTCTGATTACCAACTCCTCTGTCCTTCTCCCAGACTCTGATGCTCACCATTCTATTCTTTTCATCTATGAGTCTGATGATTTTAGATTCCTCATGTGAGGGAAATTATGCAGTTCCTGTCCTCCTGTGTCTGACTTATTTCATTAGCATCATGCCCTCCAAGTACATCCATGTTGTTGTATACTGCAGAATTTCCCACTTTTTTAAGGCTAAATTATATTCATTTATGTGTAGATCACATTTTCTTTATCCATTTATTGACATGCATAGAATTGTTATACAGGATAAGTAAGTACTAAACGCTGTGCTTATAAATAATAATACCCTATTGGATACTTAAAAACTGTTAGAAGTGTAAATCTCATAATCTATTTCTACCACAATAAAAAAATTTTAAACTGCCAGTTTTGTTATGCGGTGGTGTGACAGTCTGTCTCACTGTCCACAACTTCTCACTCTGCCCTGTGTGATTACACGTGCCTGTCCTTGATGTGTGACCTGCAGTGTGCCCTACAGGGGGAACACCCCTCCGCCCATCCACAGGCGGCTCGGCCAGGAGAAAGTGAGCACAACTGACGCCTGCTTCATCCGAGCAGGGTGCTGAAATGCCAGGTGGACTCTCTGGCTCTCCCTGCTCAGCCGCATGAAGGTCCATCCCAGACCACAACCCCTTCAGCCCAGGTGCCTGGTGAGTGAGTGGGAAATCGCAGAGAGCAGAATTGGGCCCCAGCTACCCAGCAGCCACATGTCACGGGAGTAAGCTGTCCACATTAGCTATTGTAAGCTCCTGAGTTGTGGGGGTTGTTTACTAAGAAGCACAAAAGTTAACTGATACACACATTATATAGTGCTTCCATAAATAAAATTTAGAAAATTGTTTTCCCATGATGGAATCAGACATAACAAATACACCTGAGGAGTCAGTGCGTGTCAGCCTGGGGAGGGCACATAGAGATGGTGTTATCTCTAATAACATAGAGATATGTTATTCTCAGGCCTTTAGACCTCCCAGCCCAGAGACAACTGATGGGGAGGAGCAGGGGAGAATTAATAATCACAATAGAGTATTAATAATCACAATGCACTATCCAAGGCACAGAAAGAGACATGTGTGTGAAAGTTTTTGAGAGCCCCAAGGAGAAAGTGAGAGTCCTGCATCACAGTAATAACAGCAACAGCAGGATTCTATTGCCACCGAACAAACTGCCACTTAAAAGCTGCCAACCATCTCTAGAACCATTTTCTACAAGTGGAAACCCCCAGTCTCCTTTATCCCGGGGACAGCATTCAAGTGGGCTGTTTGAGGTAAGCAAATGTCAGGAAAGATGACTATTCCAAGGGGTGGGTATCATACTTAAGACTCTTGGTGGAGCTGGCAGTTGGCCCCATCCACCCCGTGCCATCCTCCTCGATCTGTGGTAACTGGGACAGTTTGAGTATTTTACAGAGAGGCCCTGCCGTCTCCTCGAAGTAAGTCATCAAGATCCTACCTCTTCGCTTTCACTTTTTCTCCCTGTTAAAATTTATCTGACAAATTGAAACGGCCTCAGGTGAGATTAGCCAGTGACAAAGGTCACCAAGGGCCACCAAGAGGAAATCCGACGCGAGTAAAGAAGTGTCTGGGCTGGTGAGCTGACTCCACAAGGCAGCCCATGAATTCAGGGAGGGCCAGCCCTGGGTGTGATGAGTGACTGCGCTGGCAGTCTCCAGATGCCACCAGTCCAGCACCATGTTTATCCCTAGACATCCTTGGGACATTCTTGCTATCTCACTGCCACCCTGTCTCCACCATCACCTGCCTCCCAATCTCCTCTTTCCTGCTCAGGTGGCTTGCTGCCCAGTGGATGTACCACCCAGGAATGAGGTACTGGCCTCTCTTTCCGGCAAGTCCCCACTTCTCAAACATTTCTCTCAGAGGTCCCTCCTTTGGCTTTGAGGAGAGGAACCCCACCCTCCTTCCCATCAACCTCACCCACTTCTAAAACCTTTTCGTGCCCAAACCTGTCTCCTCCTTGTACTGGATGCAGTGAGAAGAGTTGTCATGGTGACTAGGGGCACAGAGCTGATTCTGTCACACTTAGAAAGCCCTGGGGGAGGTGTTCAATCCCAGGTGTCAGTGGTTTTTTTGTAAAACTTCAGAGTACTTAACACCTCATTGCCCGTAGCCTCAGGCCATAGTTGCCAGTTCGGGGCAACAGGAAAAGTCCCACCTAATATCCTGTTATACAGAGAGCAGAATGTAGAGGTGAAGGTGTGACCTGACCCACTGAAGACTATGCTAGGTCTAGTATATACCTTAATCGTACATTAGACTTCTGTTACCACACTTAGGGGCTTCTCTTGTAGCTCAGTTGGTAAAGAATCTGCCTGCAATGCAGGAGACCCAGGTTCGATCCCTGGGTCGGGAAGATCCCCTGGAGAAGGAAATGGCAACCCACTCCAGTATTCTTGCCCAGAGAATCCCATGGACAGAGGAGCCTGGCAGGTTGCAGTCCATGGGGTCACAAGAGTCGAACATGACTTAGCGACTAAACCACACCCCACCACACATAAAGTTGCATTAGCCTCATGTCTGCACACTGATCTGAAAGAAATCCCAAAGTGCACAGAGCAGGCTTCTCAGCAGAGTTATGGGGTTTCCACCAAGTCTGGACATATCTAACAAAGTGATGAGGTGGATAGCCTACTAGTGTCTACTCAGTGTAATGATGTGCACAAGGCTAGGGGAACGTGGTGCGTGGGCTGGGTAAAGCGGTCCAACTGGGAAGGGTCTAAAGGACAGTGATCAAGACCATCCCCAAGAAAAAGAAATGCAAAAAGGCAAAATGGTTGTCTGAGGAGGCCTTACAAATAGCTGAGGAAAGAAGAGAAGCTTTGGCAATGCCAAAGGAGAAAAGGAAAGATATACCCATTTGAATGCAGAGTTCCGAAGAATAGCAAGGAGAGATAAGAAAGCCTTCCTCAGTGATCAGTGCAAAGAAATAGAGGAAAACAACAGAATGGGAAAGACTAGAGATCTCTTCAAGAAAATTAGAGACACTAAGGGAACGTTTCATGCAAGAAAGATGGGCACAATAAAGGACAGAAACGGTATGGACCTAACAGAAGCAAAAGATATTAAGAAGAGGTGGCAAGAATACTATACAAAAGAACTATACAGAAGAACTATACAAAAATGATCTTCATGACCCAGATAACCACAATGATGTGATCACTCACCTAGAGCCAGACAACCTGAAATGCGAAGTCAAGCATCACTACGAACAAAGCTAGTGGAGGTGATGGAATGCCAGTTGAGCTATTTCAAATCCTAAAAGATAATGCTGTGAAAGTGTTGCACTCAATATGCCAGCAAATTGGTAAACTCAGCAGTGGCCACAGGACTGGAAAAGGTCAGTTTTCACTCCAATCCCAAAGAAAGGCAATGCCAAAGAATGCTCAAACTACCACACAATTGCACTCATCTCACACACTAGTAAAGTAATGCTCAAAATTCTCCAAGCCAGGTTTCAACAGTATGTGAACCATGAACTTCTAGATATTCAAGCTGGATTTAGAAAAGCCAGAGGGACCAGAGATCAGATTGCCAACATCTGTTGGATCATCAAAAAAGCAAGAGAGTTCCAGAAAAACATCTGCTTCATTGACTACGTCAAAGCCTTTGACTGTGTGGATCACAATAAACTGCGGAAAATTCTGAAAGAGATGGGAATACCAGACCACCTTACCTGCCTCCTAAGAAATCTGTATGTAGGTCAAGAAGCAACAGTTAGAACTGGACATGGAACTACAGAATGGTTCCAAATTGGGAAAGGAGTACATCAAGGCTGTATACTGTCACCCTGCTTATTTGACTTCCATGAGGAGTACATTATGCGGAATGCTGGGCTGGATGAAGCACAAGCTGGGATCAAGACTGCCAGGAGAAATATCAATAACCTCAGATATGCAGATGACACCACCCTTATGGCAGAAAGCCAAGAAGAACTAAAGAGCCTCTTAATGATGAAAGTGAAAGAGGAGAGTGAAAAAGTTGGCTTAAAACTCAACATTCAGATAACTAAGACCATGGCATCTGGTCCCATCACTTCATGGCAAACAGATGGGGAAACAATGGAAAGAGTGACAGACTTTATTTTCTTGGGCTCCAAATCATTGCAGATGGTGACTGCAGCCATGAAATTAAAAGACGCTTGCTCCTTGGAAAAGCTATGACAAACCTAGACAGCATATTAAAAAGCAGAGACATTACCTTGCTAACGAAGGTCCATCTAGTCAAAGCTACAGTTTTTCCAGTAGTCATGTATAGATGTGAGAGTTGGACTATAAAGAAAGCAGAGAATCGAAGAATTGATGCTTTTGAACTGTGGTGTTGGGAGAAGACTCTTGAGAGCCCCCTGGACTGCAAGGAGATCCAACCAGTCCATCCTAAAGGAGATCAGTCCTGAATATTCATTGGAAGGACTGATGCTGAAGCTGAAACTCCAATACTTCGGCCACCTGATGCGAAGAACTGACTCATCTGAAAAGACCCTGATGCTGGGAAAGACTGAAGGTGGGAGGAGAAGGGGATGACAGAAGATGAGATTGTTGGATGGTATCACTGACTTGACGGACATGAGTTTGAGTAAATTCCGGGAGTTGGTGATGGACAGAGAAGCCTGGCGTGCTGCAGTCCACGGGTTCGCAGAGTCAGACACAACTGAGCGACTGAACTGAACTGAATGGAGAGACACAGTGGGAATGGAGAGGACAGCATGGTGGCCCCCCATCCCTGCTCACCATGAACGGTGTCTGGAGCAGTAGATGAAGAGGAGTCATGAGACCCCAGCATCACTGCTGAGGCACACAGGTGCAAAATGTAACACTGGTGGGGATGAGGGATTCTTCCTGTATCTTTGAGAACTGTGGGGATTCTCTGGCTCTGCTGGTGAAGGGGCCTTCAGGGACACTAGAAGCTTCCTCCTTGGTGGAAATATCAGAGCACTGACAGAAACACCCACAACATGCTGTCCAAGTGAGTGACCCAGGGAAAGGGCTCACCTAACAACAGAGCTCTGTCACATACAGTTACTGCATTCAGTGGAACAAAAGGAGCCAAACAGAAACAGGACAGCATTTGTGATTCCATTTATGTGAAGCTATAGAAGAGGTACATCCCATTCATGCATTGAAGACAGACTGGCCCCTGCAAGGTGGGGCAGGGTATGAGGGCATGTTCTGGGGTGACAGGGCTGCTCCCTACCATCTGGTGACAGGGATGTATGTGTATCAAAACTTCCCCAAAATGTACACCTAGGACTAGCATGTTTCTGCTACATGTAAGTTACACATCAATCAAAGTAACAAAGTGATATATTTATGAAGAATTTTTATAAATTATAAAAAATTATAAAGAATTTATAAAGAATAACATGGGTACACACCTATACTGTAATCTTCAGCCAAAAAAGGGAGCAGCATAAAAAACTGGTATGTGTGTGAGAACAATTAATCAAAAAGTATGCATGGGAAAAGGTCTGGATTAAAATATATTATGTGTTAAGAGGGACTGTTTTGAGATTGTGAGACAATGACTAATTTTTTCTGTACTTTCTATTTTTCTGTTTTTCCTAGCTTGATACAATGAGCATGATGTGTTAGTTTTAGAATTAGATACATGTTTTAAAAGCTAAGAGATTCATGTGCTATTCTTTCAGCCCATCTCACTGCTGACACTGATAGAGTCAGTGTGAGCCCCACGGGCTTCAGTTCATTGAGCTCATGCAGTTGGCCCTCTGAACCCAAGAAAGAGTCAGCGTCCTCCCCATCTTGTGCGTGATGCTCTGAGTCATGGTCCAGAGGGGCAAGCAGAGAGAAGCTGCCCTCAGAACTTGGGTGCAAAGACTCGAACTGCTAGTGAAAGCTTGGCCAGCAACCCAGACAGAGGGCTGGGTATTAAGTCCAGAGTGGCAAACCAGCTAGAAGATCATTTCTCACGGAGAGTCTGAAGGCCTGCATATCAGAACCAGAGCCCTGGAAACTGGAAGGGCCAAGGTAAAAAGATAAGCAGAGATGGGGAAACTAAGTCATGGCATGATAAACCACTGGTTTCCCTTGCTGTTGTATCCAGAGCAACAATTCATTGCTTAAATGCTGAAGATGTTCCCATGGATCCTCCCTTCCTTGCGCATCCCTGGAATGAACCCCTATCCCAAAAGGTGACCTGAATGTCCCCCTAAAAGGGGACACACACACTGCCAAGTTGTGCTTCCTTGTTTCAGCCTGTGAATCCTCACCCTGTATTGCCCAAATGTGTCTTTTCCAAAGCAACTTGGCCATGGAGTCATTTTGTATTTAAGGAGGGAGGTCTCCTGGGGCCCCTAAAGTCTAGCACATAATTTGACAACGTAGGAAACAGAAGCTCAGGGAGGGGGAGGATCTTGCTAAGGGCACACAATGAATCAGCAGCACATTCTGGGTGACCTGAGCCTGCTTCACTACTCTACACTGCCCTCTGGGGGTAAGTGTTCCCTCAAGTCTACAACCACCTCAATGACAACCCGCAGAAGACAGGGCAAACAAACCCCAGGTCCACGTGGTGAAGTACAAAGCAACCAAAGCCACACACAGAAACATTATGTTTGTCCTGCAGCACCCAAGAGTTCTACACAGTGTAATACCAGCGAACACACAAGGGTCTCTTCAAATTATATTCCCTGTTTCCTGTGAAATTTTGTATTAATTTATTTGCTACCCATTTTGTAAATGCTTTCTCAAGAATACTTTGTACGTCACCACTTAACTAGCCCACAGAGAGCCAGTACCAACAAAAGGCTCTACACTTGTTCCACGTTTGACCTTGACCACAGATCTGTCAAGCACATTTGTGATTGGGGTTTTTTTGGCCCCCATTTTACAGATAAGAAAACTAAGATCTGGAGAGTTTCAGTAACTTGTACAAATTAAGCGGTAAAAAGTAAAGCTGAGGATTAAGCCCAGCCTGGTGACTGGAGTCCAGTTCTCAACTGCTGTCTCTTGAATCCACATACAGCATGAACTTGAACATTTTTTTCATGATTCATTGCCCTGGTTGTGCTTGCCCATTGCTGGTTCTTTCTGCCCCTCTCTGGCTTCCCCCAGCAGTCATATCCCCCTACCCTGTAGCACCAGCCATTAGCTTCTCCCTTTCAGCTTCTGCTTTGCTGACAAGGACCCCAGGAAACCAATTTTATTAGAATTTTATATAATAAATCTAAGAAAGGATCACTGAATGAGCACGAGCCTGATGTTTTTTTGAGTGTATATTATATGCTGCATTCTCAACTTGGATGTCTCAAGCAACCCTCCCAACAAGCCCAAGGAGCAACTACCATTATTCAGCCCATTCCACAAATGAGAACGCCGAGGGCAGGGCCAGGCTTTGAGTTCTGGCAATTGACTACAGGGGCCACTTCAACAGGTGTGGGGTCTTCTCAGGTCACAAGTCTGTGTTGGCGCGTGTCTCTTAGCCTGTGGCGGAGGAAACAAAAGCGCACAGAGGGCCCTCCTGTGGCTCAGGACTGGCTCTCAGTTCTGTTCTATGTTCTCAGTTCTGCTGTCAACAATTGAGGTTTTCAGATCAGTAACCAACCACCAAGGAGGCCTGGGGTGACTGCAGATATTGAAACAGAATCCTAAACTTGACCCTTTTCTTCTGCCACTTGCTGCCTGTTTCATGTCGAAAAACTCTCAAAGAAATTCCAGACACTGTATCCTTGGAGCGTGGGGCTCTGCTACCTACGTCCCTGGCACAGGACAGCTACCCACAGACACCTGCTGCCTTGGAGGGCTACAAAATGGTGAACGAGTAGGCTAAAATTTCATAATGATGTGCCCCCAAGGTACTTGATCTGGAGAAAGATGGGCAACACATTTAGCTCACAGGTGAATGTACAGTAAAAACTGTTAAGCAACCAGTTATTGTAGCTTGCAGAGGAAAATAGTATTGGGTGGTGAGTGTATGTGTGTGAGTTGTGGGAGGAAAGCGGGGGTAGTGGGTAAGTGAACAAAGTGGGGGGGCGTGCATGTTCAGTCCATCAGTTGTGTCAGATTTCTTTCAAACCCATGGACTGTATGTAGCCCACCAGGCTCCTCCATCCATGGATTTTCCAGGCAAGAATACTGAAGTGGTTTGCCATTTCCTCCTCCAGGGATCTTTCCAACCAGGGATCAAACCCACATCTCCTGCATCAGCAAGCAGGTTCTTCATCACTGAGCCAGCTGGGAAGCCCAGGTTTAAGAGGGATCACAGGGTTAATGTGAGATGTTCCCCCCACTTTAAAGTCAGTTTCAGCTGGCTTCCATGAAGACAAATAGCAAGTGGGTCAGACTCTCTCACCCTTGGAGCCTCGCCATTGATAAGCCCTGCAGTCTAGTACAAATCATTTGCCTCTTGGACAGCAGTTTCTTTCAGTAAAACATGGCCCTTTGACTAGATGCTCATGAATGTTCTTACAGTTCTAATATCCTTTAATTCCTTCTTTTTTCTAACCATTTGGGTAGTTGGGTGAACTGAGAAGCAAAAAGAAATTGCATAATCAGGGAAACCCATGAATAAAGTTTCAGATTAGAGATCTATTTTCTAGTCTATTTTAAGCTCGATTTAAGAAAAAAAAAAAAAAGACTGTTCTCTGATGATTTTTTTGCACGGCCAGATAATTATTCAGTAAAACTCCGCCCCCAACTCAGAAGAAACTGTGCATTTCCTACTTTTATGCTGTCTATATGTTTGATTTGCACAGCTCAGCTGGTCAGAGGAGCTGAGACATCCGTTCCCCTACGAGAATCTCTCCCGGTAAGTCATCTCTCAGCTAACTTTGCCTATTTCTTAGTGCAGCTTGAGTGATGAGTAAAAGCCTTTACAGGAAACCATAGAAAACATCAGAAATACACCAGGTGCTCATTGAACTATCTTAAAATGTAATCTTTAAGTAAGGAAAAAGTTAAGAGTTTAGAATCAGTTTCAGACTGTGATAACATCAAAGATACAAAACAGGATTATGAATGAAAGACTATAAAAAGCCCTCACTTTTCAAAAGAAAGATATTTTCAGAGAATAATTACTGGCCAAAACCTTGACAGACATTATCTTTTGGTTAGGAGAAATAAAACCTCCTCAGCAGGATGCCCTCTGAACATGTGCCCAACCAGAAGCTGTGTCTAAGTCTCCTTCTATTTCTGCCAAGAAAAGAAGGAAGCCTGAAAATTGTCCAAATTAACAACAAGTTATAAACAGCAAATCAATTTTCATAGCACATCTAGTGTATGATTCTTTTTCTGGCTCAGAATTTAAAGGTGAGATTTTTCTGTGTGCTTTTCCCAGCTGCTTAATCTGAGGTACTGGGAGCTGGAGTCTCACAGGGACTAATTAAAGAAAATTCTCAGTCAAGCGGTGGGACCTAAACAGACCAGGCAAGTTAGTGGGTTTTGATGGAACTAGGCTAACACAGGACACATGCGAGGAGATAAAACACTGTCCACCTGACCATTTCTTATGTACTGGGGGAGGCCGTCCTTAATCATAGCAGCTCAGAAACTACAAACACAAACTTCAGAGAAAATGTGAGAATGGCAAGCAGGATTTCACAACTGGCTACTGGCTCCTATGACCTTCTCCAGGGACGTGGGCATCAGACTGTTTCATTTTGACTACATCAATGCTCCAGGCTGACAATCCTGCTTGTAGTTCTCTCACCAAGGAGTGAAAGACAGGGACCATAGCAGCTAAGTTACAGGCTGCACTGCCTGCCTTCAAAATTAGTTGCTTACTCCCTGTGGGTCTTTGGGGAAGTTACTCATCTTCTCTGTGCTCTGAGGTTCTTATTTGCAAAACGGGGACAATAAACCTGACCTGCCTCACTGAGTCACCTTGAGGATTAACTGAATGAATGAAGCTTAGAACAGTGCTTGGCAGGCAGAGTACCCTTGAGAACTGTTCATTATCACCAGCAAGCTCCTAATGATGCTATGTGTAAGCTAACTCCAGGGAATGACAGCTTAAGAACAGACACGGTTGGACAGTTCCTGACCCAGTTTCTGGACATTGCTATCACAGCTTCATTCACTCCATGTGGCTACACAACATCCGATTTTATTTGGTGAGATGACTGATGTGCTCCGTCTAGTAAGCAGAGAGTGTCAGTCGCCCAGTCGTGTCTGACTCTTATGACCCCACGGATTGTAGCCCGCCAGGCTCCTCTAACCATGGAAATACTGGAGTAGGTTGCCATTTCCTCCTCCAGGGGATCTTCCCAACCCAGGGATCGAACCCAGGTCTCCAGCATTGCAGGCAGACTCTTAACCATCTGAGCCACCACAGAAACCCAGAGCAGAGAAGCTAGCAGCAAACTAATATAAAAAGTTCGTTGTTTGACCAAAAAAGGTACTTCAGTTAAATGTAGAAATCTATGTATCAATTTTTAAAACCTACTGAAGTATTGCATTCATGACGGACTGCTAAGGACATTCTATGACTTTATAAAAGAGCTCTTCTTTATTTACAGAGTCAAGCAAAATGGATTATCAAACATCAACTCCCACCTATGACATTGATTATGGGATGTCAGAGCCATGCCAAAAAATCAATGTGAGGCAAATTGCAGCCCGGCTCCTGCCCCCACTCTACTCACTGGTATTCATCTTTGGTTTTGTGGGTAACATGCTGGTTTTCCTCATCCTGATAAACTGCAAAAAGCTGAAGAGCATGACTGACATCTATCTGCTCAACTTGGCCATCTCTGACCTACTTTTCATCATCACTGTCCCATTCTGGGCTCACTATGCTGCAGACCAGTGGGTCTTTGGAAATACAATGTGCCAGCTATTCACAGGGCTCTATTTCATTGGTTATTTTGGTGGAATCTTCTTCATCATCCTCTTGACAATCGATAGGTACCTGGCTATCGTCCATGCTGTGTTTGCTTTAAAAGCCAGAACAGTCGCCTTTGGGGCGGTGACAAGTGGGGTCACCTGGGTGGTGGCTGTGTTTGCCTCTCTCCCAGGAATTATCTTTACTAAATCCCAAAAAGAAGGCTCTCGTCATACGTGCAGCCCACATTTCCCATCCAGTCAGTATCATTTCTGGAAGAATTTCCAAACTTTAAAGATAGTCATCTTGGGGCTGGTGCTGCCCCTGCTTGTCATGATCGTCTGCTACTCGGGAATCCTGAAAACCCTGCTCCGGTGTCGCAATGAGAAGAAGAAGCACAAGGCTGTGCGGCTCATCTTCGTGATCATGATTGTCTACTTTCTCTTCTGGGCTCCCTACAATATCGTCCTTCTCCTGAGCACCTTCCAGGAATTCTTTGGCTTGAATAACTGCAGTGGCTCTAACAGGCTGGACCAAGCCATGCAGGTGACAGAGACCCTGGGGATGACGCACTGCTGCATCAACCCCATCATCTACGCCTTCGTGGGGGAGAAATTCCGAAACTATCTCTTACGGTTCTTCCGAAAGTACATTGCCAGCCGCTTCTGCAAAAGCTGTCCGGTCTTCCAGGGAGAGGCTCCAGAGCGAGTAAGCTCCGTTTATACACGATCCACGGGAGAACAGGAAATCTCTGTTGGCTTGTGATCTGACTCAGTTTATATATGCAAACTGTGGGGGAGTAGTTCTTTTCAAGAGGAAATTACTGTCAACAATGGTTTAAGATTCATCCATCAATTTGGCATCAGCTCTAAGTATATTAGGTATTTCAAGCCCATCAATTTTAGAAAGCCAAAGCAAAACATGCTGATGAAACAGCAATCTTCTCACCTCCCCCCCACATACAGCAATTTATTAGCAAGCTCTCCCCTCACTACAAAAGGTTCAATGTTTAAAAAAAAAAATCCTCAGAGAATTGTTAATTCCTGAGTTTAGTTACCTGAACAGGAATAACAAAATGAACTGAGGAAAGTATTGTATAGCTTCTTATCTGGGTAGGGCCACAGCCAGATTGCAAATGTGATTAAAACAGGTCCTTCTCTTGCCATGGGGAGAAATGACATCTTCCATGTGGGATCTCCCCCAAAAGGTATGTTAGTAAGTTCCACAGACGCTGACGCCAAGGGAGAGCCCTGTGGTCTGCCGAGAGCTGGGAAGGTTTCTTCGCAGAAAAGGGACTGGAGGTCGATGGCCTGTTGGTGGAGAAGCTGAGCTCCAGGACGAAGGCACTGCACAGGCAAAACTTCGCTGTGGGGAGACAGGCACTGGCTGGGGGAGCCCCTGGGAGGAAAAATGAGGCTGGCGCAGGAGAAAACTGGACGGCATTGCTCATCAAAGTCTGAGAGCAGAGTGGGGAGCCCTGGCCAGTGTTGCAGAAGGCTCATTCTGTAACAAAGGATGGCCTGGAAAGGTGAGCATTCAGGTCAAGGAGACCAGCAACAATGTGATCAAGTGAGGAGGCTCCACTAAAGTTGAAGCCAGAGATGGGAACGATGGATACCTCCTCACAGCATTGAGGATGAGAGTCAGCAGAACTTGGGGTGGATTTGGCTTGGCAGTGAAGGGCAGAGAGGAGTCAGAGACTTCCTAGATTTGAGGTAAGCATCAGAGGTGCCCTAAAAAAGACATCAAGCATGGAAGGAGGAGGAGGTTTAGGTCAAAACAGGAGTTGGTGGAAGAGAAAGGTCCAGTTTTGTAAGCTGAACACCACCCTAGGCAGACAGACCCTGAGCTGTCTATTGTTGACTGCTTCTGCCACCAGAGCAGTCCTTCCATCCTGGCTCAAACCATGAGGCATCCCCAGGTGGCTCTGAAATACTAGATTTACAAATGCACGAGTCTGAGGTCCAGGAACACTTCCAGGTCAGATATGACATTTGGGTGGTACTGATTACATAGTTAACAAAAATCCAAAGCTTTATAAGCACTGAATAAAGAGGCCCGAAAGAGCTGAGGAAGCCTAAATGATGGCTTCTAAGTACGGTCTTCTGGATTTAACTATCAATAGATAAAGGGAAGACAGACACACTCATTTGGAAACAGGCTGCTTCAAGCTTTTTAAACCACAGAATATACAATTTACCAACCTCTGTGCTTCAACCTAAGTGTCGGGGCTAGAGATACACATTCCAGATGCATTTCTGAACAAACCTTATCCAAACACTAAGAGACTTCTTTCAAAGGAAGAATTGTGTGGGATTTTTTTTGCAGTTTGCTAGTTATATTATTATTTTGTATATGCCTAAGACTGTTTTGAGTCCAGGGGTAGCTAAGACCATCACTGTAAAGATTAGGTGGGAAAACACAAAGGAATGAGAACCTCTCAAGAGATTAAGACGTCAGAATAAGAGGTACTACTGATTTTTCTCCAGCTCTAAAGTGTGAAACTTGAGGGTTGTGGCTGTCAATAGGAAGTGACTGGAAGGGTCTTTTGTCTTGCTCTTAAAGTTGTTGAGAGTGTACACGCGGCATATAAACCTCGTTTCTGGGTCAGTTCAAACATTCTGATATACATATATATATATACACACACACACACATATATGTGACATTATTATGTATATAGACAGTTACAAGTTGCTTGGAAGAAAATATGCATCTAATAAAAACCCTGAAAAATAATTGACTATATTCTTGTTCTTTCAGCCAATGTACATTTAGAATACTACACATAAAATTGTGAGAGAATTTTTTAAGTAGCTGATTTGGAAAATTTCACGCACATACAAACACACATATTGGGGATTATTTTTTCTAATTATTTTTAAAAGTTGACCCTCTCACTGGGTCAAATTGCCAGAATAATTTGTTTTTAAAGACACTACCTCTCAGAGTGGAGATTCTGCACAATTGACCCTGAAAACTTAAATTTCAAACTTAATTCTCTACTCAAGCAAAAGAATTGACATGATTCTTCAGAGAAAATCAATGTGTGATTCAACATATATTAACTGTCTAGGTTGGACAATGGAAAAGACATAATGCTGTAACTTGGTCATTCATCTGTAATCTTGTGTTGCAGACACAGGATACAGAAGAAGGTCATTGGTGGCTGTGAAGATTGCTTTTGTTTCATTTGACAATCTCTCCCCAAAACTTGGCTGCAATTGCATTGATGACAATGGTGTTCACACAGACTTCTGTGCACGTGTCTCCTTCCCTCCAGGAGGACAGGTGCTCCAGGTAGAGGTGACCTACCTAGGCACATTCGCACAGTTTTCCCCCTGCTTCCCTCTCCTCTTCCAAGCACACTCTAGAGTCGGTTGCCATCCTAACTTGGAGGTCTATGACAAGGACAGCTTCTCCCTAACAATACTGAAGGACTGCCTTCTATCTCACAGGGTACAAGGAGGCATGAACCAAGGTCAGGTGGGAGGGGCTGGGGTTAAAGCAGAGGGAAGGACCAGGGAGAAAGGAGGCCTCCCCTGTAAGATGAACGTGGCTGCATAGGGAGGTTGGAAGGTGTCAGTTTTATGACTGATACACATGTACTTCTCATCCTCTTTCCTGCTAAATAAAACTAGCCCAATGTCAACATGCAGAAAAGCTACCCAATGTGTCTGTACACCCAACGTGATGTACCCAGGGTGCATCTTGTCCCCCATCATGTGTACGCCTCAAGCCTCATTTGCCTTGATCCTCCACACCCCTCGCTCTGCAAGCCCCTTCATTGCCCACCTCTTTTTTGCCCATCGCTTAGATCAGCAAATGAATGTAAACTCTTTATGGCCCGCAGGTTCTGACTTATCTCAATGCCTCAACCCAGAGGCCCTGTCGAGAGGGTTTCATACATGCCATGGAGAAAGTCAAAGAAAAGGTGAATGTCCTTAGAGGGAGAAATAATGTGCAAATTCATAAATTGGAATTCTGCTGACATCTGTATTCCAAGGGTTCTCAGTAGCAGCAGCTCTCACTAAATTAAATGCATTGGTATTTCTAGTGACTAAATTAATAAGTTATTTACTTTATATCAAAGGACAGATTCCCCTACATGAACATAGATGTCCAAGTGTTAACCCTTCTTATGAAGGCAGGAGACTTAACACAGAAGTGAGATGTGAGCCGAGAACAACTCCTGAACTTCCTAACTGCTCTGGCTCATAGCTTGAGAGCATATCCTTTACCAGCAGTTCAGGGTTTGTGCAGTGTCTATATAACCCTTGGGGTGAGGAGAGACAGAAGAGGCAGAAAGAGGCATTTTTCATAGGTCCTTTTCAGTAAAATTCACTATAAAAATCTTGCTTGTATTTTTCTAAAATACTGTCAAACTTTAACATTTTACATTATGTATATGTCAAAATTATGCCACACTTTTCATTTTCCTTAATTTATTGTAAGCATTTTTATAACTCTTATATTTGGCTCCATACTGTTACTACTTTGAGAATAAGTTCTGTACCATTTTGATTCTGCCATGCTTCAGCAACTTATTTTTGTCTCTTTTAAAGTGGCAACTAGTTTTTTAAAGCACAGCTTATATGTCTTTTTCAAATTAAATGCAAAGCCATTAAGAATCTTGGGCTGTACTGCCCCCCTGTGGCCACTTAGCAAACCAACAAGTATGGCCAGCAGCCATCCTTGATCAGAGATATGCATACGGAGCATTTTTTTTTTTTTTTTGGCTTTTTTTTTTTTTTAATTAATTAATTTATTTTTTTTTAAATCACAACCATAGTGTATCTTTTTTTTTTTTTTTTACATGTATTCCCCATCCCGGGCCCCCCTCCCACCTCCCTCTCCACCCAATCCCTCTGGGTCTTCCCAGTGCACCAGGCCCGAGCACTTGTCTCATGCACCCAACCTGGGCTGGTGAACTGTTTCACCCTAGATAATATACGTGTTTCAATGCTGTTCTCTTGAAACATCCCACCCTCGCCTTCTCCCAGAGTCCACAAGTCTGTGCTATACATAGGAGTCTCTTTTTCTGTTTTGCACATAGGGTTATCGTTACCATCTTTCTAAATTCCATATATATGTGTTAGTATACTGTAATGGTCTTTATCTTTCAGGCTTACTTCGCTCTGTATAATGGGCTCCAGTTTCATCCATCTCATTAGAACTGATTCAAATGAATTCTTTTTAATGGCTGAGTAATATTCCATGGTGTATATGTACCACAGCTTCCTCATCCATTCATCTGCTGATGGGCATCTAGGTTGCTTCCATGTCCTGGCTATTATAAACAGTGCTGCGATGAACATTGGGGTACACGTGTCTCTTTCAGATCTGGTTTCCTCGGTGTGTATGCCCAGAAGTGGGATTGCTGGGTCATATGGCAGTTCTATTTCCAGCTTTTTAAGAAATCTCCACACTGTTTTCCATAGTGGCTGTACTAATTTGCATTCCCACCAACAGTGTAAGAGGGTTCCCTTTTCTCCACACCCTCTCCAGCATTTATTGCTTGTAGACTTTTGGATAGCAGCCATCCTGACTGGTGTGTAATGGTACCTCATTGTGGTTTTGATTTGCATTTCTCTGATAATGAGTGATGATGAGCATCTTTTCATGTGTTTGTTAGCCATCTGTATGTCTTCCTTGGAGAAATGTCTGTTCAGTTCTTTGGCCCATTTTTTGATTGGGTCATTTATTTTTCTGGAGTTGAGCTGGAGGAGTTGCTTGTATATTTTTGAGATTAATCCTTTGTCTGT